AACACAGTAAGAAACTGCTCTTTCTTGATCTCTGAACAAGCCAAGAAACACTAGGGGATAGAAATGGCTGTTGCATCGGTGGACTTTTTTATAGATAACCTGAAGCAGCTATTGGAAGACAACAAAGATCATATTCCTGGATTAAAGGATGATACTGATTCTCTGCTTGTTGACCTTAAGAGTTTGAAGGCCTTTCTCAAGCAAGCTGCAAAAAGCCGCAGCGAAAACGAAATTGTGAAAGACATGGTAAAACAGATGAGAATAACTATCAACGAAGCCGAAGATTGCATTGAGAAATTTGTGATCGATACTAAGTTACATCAGAACAAAATGATAACAAAGCTTTTCGACACATCCAGTGCTAAAAGAACTAGAGAGGCTGCAACTGAAATCAGATCAATCAAGGAGAAATTGAGAGATATTCGTCGAAACAGTGCCTATGGCTTTCAGACCTTTCAACTCGACGAACCTCACAGCAGATACCGGCTGCAGGAAGTATGACATCGATCCCATCTTTCTGGTCGCTGTCTTTTCTTTATTCAATATAGTTGTTGACATAGATCTAAAACAAGACGTCTAAAATCACATACTGTTTATGTTTTAAAAGGTTGAAATAATCTCCTAAATATAGTCTCTACTTCTACTATAGAATGTAAATTTGGTTATCATTTTTAAAACCAAGGTTTCTTGTCAAATTTGGAAATCTTTTATATACTGAAAAACACTTACCATGACATCAGTGTTAATTATAAAACCATGGATTGTGAATTGGAATGTAAAAGGAGGTACAAGAGATCGTTAGAGAAGAGATATAAGGATGATAAGGGATAAATGCAATCCAGTTTTTTGGTGCAAGAATTGTGCCAACGATATGGGATTGATCTTTTTTCTAACAATTAAAGCAATCGCCTTTTTTGTAATAAAGTTTTAATTCAAATTAAGGGTTACAAATATAATTTGATCTTTGGGATATTAGATCCAAAATAATTTGTTAAGTTATTGACCGTAGATCTCGAACAAGCTAAAACTTGACTCGTATCTAATTAAATGTAGCATTAGCAATGTTATTTCACATTAGTTGCTGTAAACTTTTTAGAAACAAATTTAAAGCATTCTTCCATATAGTTCCTTTAAAATGTATAAGGTTTTGGTTTCCTATGTTTGTTTAACTCTTACATTCAGTCTCATTCATCTACATCTCAGACTCATGTAATGGTTGAAGATGATGTGGTGGGCTTTGACGAGGAGGCACAAACAATAGTGAACCGTCTTCTTCAGAAATCAGGTGACCTGGAGGTTATCCCAGTGGCTGGCATGCTTGGTCTTGGAAAAACAACCCTAGCACATAAGATATTCTGGGATACCATGGTTCGACAAGAGTTCAAGGAATTCATCTGGATTGCTGTTTCTCAAAGGTTCGACAGAAGGAAGGTGCTTCTGAATATCATCAGCATATTAGACCGTGATGCCGGACAATATCAGGATATGGCTGATGATGAACTAGCTGATAAGATTCGTCAGGTTTTAATTGAAAAAAGATACTTGATTGTCCTAGATGATGTATGGGCGAGCGAAGCCTTGAAAGAGATCATTTCTGTTTTACCCAAAAACAGCTACGGTAGTAAAGTCTTGTTGACCACCCGAGATACAAATGTGGCTAATACGTGCAATGAACAGCCTCATCATTTAAAGTTTTTATCTGATGATGAATGTTGGCAGCTACTACAGAAGAAGATTTCTCGCAAATGCCCCCCGGAATCGGAACCTCTTGGTAAGGACATAGCTAAAAGATGTAATGGACTACCACTTACGGTTGTGTTAATTTCAGGAATACTAAATAGGACAGGAAGGACAAGAAATGACTACGAACGAGTTCTTCAAAGTCTGAGTGAAGGCTTCATTCTTAAAGAACTTGAGATATGCAAGAACTTGATTCGGACAAGTTATGATACTTTGCCTTTGAACTTGAAACTCTGTTTCTTGTATTGTGGTGCTTTTCCTTTAGGCTTTGAAATCCCTACATGGAAGTTACTCCGATTATGGATCTCCGAAGGATTCATTCAAAATCGAATGACATCAACACTGGAAATTGTAGCTGCGGAGCACTTGAAAGAACTTGTGGACAAGAACTTTCTGATTGTAACAAAAAAGACCTCCGATGGACAAATCAAAACATGTTGTGTTCATGACATGTTGCATGAGTTCTGTAGGCAAGAAGCTAGTGAGGAGAATCTTTTCCAAGTAATAAAACTAGGCATCGAGCAATCTTTCCCTAGAAACCAGGAATTAGCCACCTATCGTCGCCTTTGCATTTGTTCCTCCATGATGGAATTTCTTTCTGCGAAACCACTTAGTGAATACCTTCGGTCATTCTTATGTTTTTCCTTATCCAAATCCGATGAGGAAATTACCCGATCCGAGGCCGCAAATATCCCAAAAGCATTTCCATTACTCAGGGTGCTTGATGTTGAGTCCATCAAATTCAATGATGTCAGCCCCAAGTTTTCTCAGCTATTTCATTTGAGGTACCTTGCTTTCTCAATTGGCTCAACAAATATCCTTCCTAAAATTATAGGGGACCTCTGGAATCTACAAACTCTTATAGTTATGACGACAGAGGGAAAAACTCTCAACATAGAAGTAGACATATTGAACATGCCACAGCTAAGGCATTTTCACACAAATGCCTCAGCTAAATTGCATCTCCCTACTGACCCGAAAAAAGAAATTTTCTGTACTTTACAAACCCTTTCTACAATAGAACCTGAAAGTTGCAAAGAGCATGTATTTGCAAGGTCACAGAAGCTGACAAAGCTAGGTATTCGTGGGAAAATAGCAGTGTTTTCCCAAAACATCACGGCTGAGACATCCTCCAAAGTTCCATCCTCCAAATTTAATGATCAGTTAAAATGCCTTGAAAATTTGAAGCTACGAAATGATGATCCCCCAGTAGACGGGATGTGCCTTCCTCCAAATTTGTTCCCCGCGACATTAAAGAAGCTAACTTTATCAGTTACCTGGTTGAAGTGGGCTGATATGTGTATACTTGAGGACTTGCCAGCCCTAGAAGTCCTTAAGCTGAAACAACATGCGTTTAAGGGGAATTCTTGGGAGTCAAAGAAAGATGGTTTTCCTTGTCTTAAGGTCTTGTTGATTGAAACGACAGACCTAGTTACCTGGAAAGCTTCCGATGATGTCTTTCCAAGTTTAGAGAGGCTTGTTCTTAAAGACTGTAAGTTTCTCGAGGAAGTTCCTCTCAAACTTGCTGCAATATACAGCTTGCAAGAGTTGAAACTGGAGAACACAACCAGCAAAGCTGCTAAATGTGCCCGGGAAATACAGGTCCACAGTAAAACTGCTTTCAAGCTCTCCATCATACCTCCGATTTCTGATTCCAACTAGTCAGACCGCTTCCTTCACACGTCAGTGAACAATTTCTTTCTTTTTGCTTGTGATACAGATTAAATTCCATCTTTTTGAATGTTATAGATTATATTAATATTAGTCCATTTCTCTCACTATTAATTAAAACCTTTTGCACCAGGAGGGGATCAGTGGGCTTCTATGGTTCCTTAAATTTAATTTTGATGGGAGTATTAATGATTATTTCATGTTAATGACCAATGTAGTATAGTAACAGTAAAGTTTAATGAGGTAATGTTCTTCATTCACGCTGGTAATGATAAAGAATTAAAATATGATCATGTCAATGTTAGATTTCCACTAGCGTTACTTTTCTCAGTCTCATTGGTTATTTTTATCTATACTCTCATAGATTTTGTTGCGCATGCTCTCCAAAATACTGTCGCATCCGTGTTGGACCGTTATAAAATATACTACTACTTTTGGAGGATCGGACACGCACCCGGCCATATTTTCGGAGAGTCCAAGTAACATAACTATAGATGCCAGTTTATTTCCACTTGAAGAAGACATGTAACATATTAACAAATTTATATTGATAGGTCTACTAACAAATACTAAAATCACACCGGTTTGACTTTATTGGAAACTCCTTGTTCTTATTGTTTTTTCAGAATAATTTCAATTTGTTCCAATCAGTTATCATATACTTAACCTTTTTTAGATGAAAACAACTTTTTCGAGTATAACAATTCTCTTTTTACTCGTTTTACTCTCCCCCTCCTAGTTTTGTTTCTAATTTGGTTAGACTACACACAAGCACAAGAGTTAAAAATGGTTGTTATCAGTTAATTATTATCCAAAGCTTATAATATAAAAGTTTTATTTTTTAGAGGAGTAGTGGTTAGTGATGATGGTTTCACTTGCTTGTATACTTGATTGTTTTGCCTTCCCTTTTTGTAGTATTTTTTATCTATCTGACTTTCATGTCTTCAACTATAGTTTTCTAATTAATGGAGTGTTTCTGTTACTTGCAGCTCTACTCAAGGTTTTGTACTGGTAAGGTTGTGTTTTGAGGTCTCCATATACAATTGTGTTGCATCTACATCATCGATATATTCTGGAGCCTTGTTTCGCGCTGTTAGTGCAGTTTGCTATTCTTCTACAATGCCATGGTGTGGACCTGGTTTTGCCACTATGCATTGATGTGTTGCATCTATCTCGCCAATGTAATCTGGAGCCTTGTATTGTTTTTATTGAGATTCAGGCGCTGCTATGATTTTTCCCTTTTCGAGCTTGTATGGAACAACCTTGTCTGTATAATTAGTGTGGGGTGGTGACTGTGTGTTCATCACTCTGCTTGGAAACCCAAATTTTATTATCCATTGCTTACTTTGGAAATGATTAGAGAGATTCTGTTGTCTCCTTTTTATTGTTTGCCTTTCGGATTAATCTACTGGTGTGTTTTTCCCTTTCTTTTTTCCATCATGTTTTTCGTTTTCTCTTCCATTACAATTTCTTAAACTTTGCTAATTTGCGAGATGGGGCGTTGCTAATTTGCGAGATGGGCCAGTGGCGGATCCGAAATTTTCATCAAGGGGTGTCAAAATATAAATAATTAGATATATAGAAAAGTCAAGGAGAACCACCGAATAGTAAATATACATAAAATAAAAAAATTTATTTAATAAAATAATATAATTTTTGGACGAAGGGATGTCGTTTGACACCCCTCCACTAGATGGGGCGTGCCCATTTTGCAGAGCTACAGTACTCGTGGGTTAGGGGGTGTATTTGGTATGAAATTCTTGTCATTTCTCTCCACACCCTCCCCTTTTTTTATTCTTTTTCAAAACAAAAAAAAAGAGACGAAGGAAAAAAAAA